CGCCGCGCGGCCTCGACCGTACTTCGTTCCACTCCTGCAGCAGGTTCTTGGTCTTCCGCCTTCTACTGGTCCTCCTCCTTCTTTAGGGTGTCCACAGCCAGTCCCGTCACAGTTATATTTGCAGCCTACCTCCCCTTTGCCTGCTCCTTCTCCCTACACTGGTCCTACTGGAGGTCTTACTGAGCGTCGTGAGCCTGCGTCTCGCCCTGCGTCGCCTGTCCGTGCTGCTCGCGCTAGTGGTCGTGGTTCGCGTCAGCGTCCTCCTCCTGTCCCTGGCACGCACAGGATGTCTCTGCGTCCGTCCACTGCTCCTCTGCGTGCCCCTTTACCTTCTCCTCCTGAGTCCTCTCTTCCTGCTTTTGCCGACCCGGAGTCGGACTCTCTTCGTGCTGCCAGTCCTACTGTCACGCGTCTCCTGGCTACTGTTGTCACTGACCCTTCTTTCGAGTCCACTGCTGCGTCTGCCCTAGTTGCTGAGCTCGTCGACTTTGCTGCTCGTTGCCGCCTAGACTACGCTGTTAGTCTTGTCGCTGAGTCTGAGTCTGTCTATCCTCCGTCCGTCGGGGGTGAGTGTGCCCTTGGCACAGACGTCCTTGAGGACAGGCAGGAGGAGTTCCAGTGCTTGGCCGCTGCTTCACCTCATCTCGTGTCCGTACTGCTTACCCCTGAGGGAGACCCGGATGCACTTGACATCCCGACTCCGCGCTCTTACGCGGAGGCGATAGAGGGTCCCTACTCTTCTCAGTGGCAGGCAGCTATGGATGTAGAGATGGCTTTCTGGAAGTCCACAGGCACCTATGTTGACGCTTTCCCCCCTCCTGGGGCGAACATCGTCAGTGGCATGTGGATCTTCAGGGTGAAGCGGCCGCCGGGTTCTCCGCCTGTCTTCAAGGCGCGTTACGTGGCTCGTGGTGTCAGTCAGCGGCAGGGAGTTGACTACTTTCAGACATTCTCTCCCACCCCGAAGATGACCACTCTTCGGGTACTGCTGCACGTTGCTGCTCACCGTGACTACGAGCTGCACTCTCTCGACTTCAGCACAGCTTTCTTGCAGGGCAGCCTGCACGAGGAGATCTGGCTGCGCCGCCCACCTGGCTTCACTGGGTCTTTCCCTCCTGGTACCCAGTGGAGTCTCCGGCGTCCAGTCTACGGTCTCCGCCAGGCGCCTCGTGAGTGGCACGACACACTGAGGACTACGCTTGCGGCTCTTGGGTTTGCTCCTTCTACTGCCGACCCGTCGCTGTTTCTGCGCACCGACACTTCCCTGCTGCCGTTCTACATCCTCGTGTATGTCGACGACTTGGTCTTTGCCACAGCTGACACTGCTGGACTCGCCTACGTGAAGTCCGAGCTGCAGAAGAGACACACGTGCACAGACCTGGGTGAACTGCGTAGCTACCTTGGCTTGCAAATCACCCGAGACAGAGCACGCCGCACCATTACCCTGACTCAGTCACACATGGTGCAGCAGGTCCTTCAGCGCTTCGGCTTCACGTACTCCTCGCCTCAGACCACTCCTCTGCCTACTCGCCACTCGCTCTCAGCTCTGCCTTCGGATGAGTCCGTAGAGTCGAGTGGCCCGTATCCAGAGCTTGTTGGCTGCCTCATGTACCTGATGACCTGCACACGACCTGACCTTGCATACCCTCTTAGCATTCTCGCACGCTATGTTGCTCCTGGGAGACACCGACCAGAGCACATGGCTGCAGCAAAGAGGGTGTTGCGCTACTTGTGCAGTACATCGGGCATGGGGCTAGTGCTTGGAGAGCGGAGTCCAGTGGTCCTCACTGGGCACGCGGACGCTTCTTGGGCTGACGACCAGGCTACGCAGCGGTCGTCACAGGGTTACACCTTCAGCCTTGGTTCCGGCTCTGTTTCGTGGCGGGCTACTCGCTCGTCTTCTGTTCTCGGCTCCAGTTGTGAGGCTGAGATTTACGCCGGGGCCATGGCTGCACAGGAGCTTCGCTGGCTCACCTACCTGCTGACTGACCTTGGAGAGTCGCCTCGTTTTCCTCCAGTCCTGTACATAGACAAGAAGGCCATGCTGGCCTTGTGTCGAGAGTAGAGACTGGAGCATAGAACAAAGCACATTGCTCTTCGCTACTTTCTTGCTCGTGAGCTACAGCAGCGTGGTGAGTTGCGGCTTGCGTACGTGGCCTCTGAGGCCAACACTGCTGATGTCTTCACCAAGGCACTTGCGCCTTGTGATCATCAGCGCTTCTGCATGCAGCTGGGTCTTGTGCCTGTCTTGCCTTACTTGCTCACCTCTTGACCTTGCTTGTACTGTTGCATATATATACACCTGCTCTTGCTTGTCTAGTCCTTTATATATATGTACTCCTGCATGTGAACTGGCCTTGTGGCCTTGAACTTGTGCTCAGAATGTGTGGTGACTTTGTGATCCACCCTGAGCTTGCTTTGCTTTGCTTTGCTTGACTGGTCTTGTGACCCCTTGTTCTCCCCCACTTTGCCTATGGGGGTGTGTCAGAACATATAGCTTGTGCTTTTGTGTAGGCTATAGTGGGGTAGCCCATAAGTGGTACAACCCAATTAGGGTTAGTACTTGTACTCAGTTCATTCATAGTTCATTCATTCTCGTTCTCATTTCCTCACCCTCCATCACATTTTGTTTTTGTCTTCACCCCCTGACAATATCGCTTGCCGTCGTTTACCCAGTGTCCGCTTTTGTCGGATGAGGCATAACTTGGTGTTGCCCGCGATCTTTCTGACACTCGGTGAAGGCGCAAACACTATCGTAGTCGGATCGTGTTTATCATATCAAATAGACAGGCCGGCCGCTTCGTTGCCCACCTCGTCTATCGCGCTTAAAAACTCTCAGCTTCGGAAATCCCATCTTCACCGCTACACCTCCATTGGGTAGACTGCTGAATTAGGAGAAACTCCGACAGCTGCACCAATATCTTCAGCTCCGACTTTTTCGGCAGGGGAACTGTTGCCGATGGTCCGGTTTTGTCGGGGCCGAAACAGTATCGCATCCTTGAAATTTTCTTATACACCCTGCTGCCAAACTTGCGCAATACCCGCGCTTTTTAGCCAGCACGGGGCTAAACACAGGGCCCCACGTTATTCGTCTAGTGCCCTCCAGGCCTGTCGCCACTTAGGCCGCCTTCGAAGCTACCTGGTGTGGGGTATGTGGAACGTCGTAAGACATCGGTCGGTAGTTGGGCCCCATCCGTCTACTGCCACTTAGCCACGAGACCCGGCACCAGCAAAAAGTCTTTTTTGGTAGGTCGTCTTCTCCCCTCCTGAAGCGCGGAACCCGTTTCTCTCGCTAAACCCACACTCGACGCAACTCCGTATATTGTAGCCGGTAGAACCCCCAAAAGACGCGGGTCTAAACACTACGCCGAATCGTTGTCCCGCTGGTGTACTGCCCTGTCTACGGGGCAACTACCCTTGATCAGCGGGTACTGTGCCGCCTGAAGTACAGTATCGGCTGCTTTTGTTGCTCCGAAATTTTCGCCGATCTTGTTGCAGGTACAGCAGTAACCCTAGCGATAGACAGTCTAGTCGTAGGCGACTTTTCCCGAACTTTTCGGTGGATTGAAAAACAACTTCCATCCCACACTGTGCCGCTCTGCCGAAAACGCCAAGGACGCACCCTCCTGCAGCTACACCAGCCGCACCCGGGCGGGACGACGGTAGACCCCCGCTTTCTTCGGGCAGTCGCCACGCCGTCTCTCCTCGCCGTTGCATTTTCCGACGCAAATAACCATGCGCCTGGCCTGCCCGGCAAGCTGTCGTTTCACACGTGAAGTCGCCCGAAATCTTCGCGCACAGTGACGACGATCACCACGTGCCGAAGACCTCCGAAATTCTCGTGCGCAACGTGACGGAAACGCCCGACGCCACTTGCAGCATGCATTAAATCCGACTTTGTCGCGCGCAGTTGATGTCCACGTGCCAATGCCAACTCGCACAACAGTTGCTTCCGAGAATCTCGCACATGCAGTGACGACAATCCGTCTCACGCCAACTGCCGCATGAAAGCAGCATCGAGATTAATGGAAACGACAGCCACAGCTGCCCACCACGCGGGGGGAGGGAGGTCACGGTCCATCTCGACCGTCGAGGGCAAGGATCCGGCGGTGCCAAAGGAGCGTCTGTGAAAATCATGGCCGCGAGGAGCAACTACCCGTTCTCCTGGCCGGCTATCGCGCAGCTCCTGGACCCCACGACATCCTTCCCGTCCACCCCCCAAGGGGTATTACACTCTAATAAACGGGGAACCTAGGAAAGTAGCTCCGTTACCAAGTGTTATGAGTTATACTAAGAGCGTGTTCCTACGGCCTCATATAAGGAAACCTCGTATCAAGAATGCTGTTTTTGCCTGGTAAAACTAGCAAGAGGTTTTGGGTTTAGGGGAATTTTCAGTGTGAGCCTGATACGAGGTTATCTTGATACGAGGTTATCTTGATACGAGGTTATCTTGATACGAGGTTATCTTGATACGAGGTTATCTTGATATGAGGTTATCTTGATACGAGGATAGGAACACGGTCTAAAAGAGTGCACGGAAGACTTTATAAAAAGGATGAAAACTACCGAATTACTGAATGATCAAGAATGATGAAGGAGCACGCATTTATAGGGTCGAAACCGTGCCAGGCAAGGACCTTGGGATGTGGATGGATTGGAAGTGTCGCGATTAGTGCGGGGCGACTCGGCGGTGGTTCGGGCTGAAATGTAGGCCGAACCAAAATCTGACGCGAAGAGCTCGGGGCTGTACTCGCTAGGAGCAGCTTCGGCAGTAATGAAATGTATATTCATTACAGGGAATATAAACAGAATCCAAGCAAAACAGAAGCATTATGTAACGTAGTAATCAAGTGATTCATGATAGAATGTGATGTGAACCCTCCACTCTCTAGCTTACCCCCCTCCCTAATCATGGTGAATCTACAAAACATCCTTGTGAACATGTAGTGACTAATGTACACCGGTATTTACACGTAAAACATTTCCTTCAATCAAAAGAATCACAATGTCTTCACCTCCACCTCCTCCTCGACGCCAGCATCATCGATGAGGGGAAGCTGTGCCGGGCCACCCTCGGGGTGGATGGAGGCGGAAAAGGGCTGCTTGACAAAGAGGCGCGTGGCATGGCGTGTGTTCATGACTCCATGAATAGACCTCGCCACTTTCAGCACCAATGCATCGGCGCCACACTCCAGAGCTGCAGTCAGCATCTTGATCCAACTCTCTGCCAGATGGCAGATTGGGGAAACGGAACAATCAACCAGCGTCAATAGACCAGTGTTTCGGAGTGCACGAAAAAAAGGAAATAAAAGCAAGTGCGAGTATCCTCATCATCTTCATCATCCTTCGCTCGTCAACCTACTCCTCGTCCCACCTCATCATCACCATCCACAGAATTGAGGAATCCCAATTACCTGGCGTGGGCTCGAGCTGCTCCTCACACAGCTTCTGCAGCGCAAACACCTCGTACTGCAAGACATTGCATAGCAGAAAAGAAAAAAGAGGGACAAGACAAATTAGGCAAAGTGGGAGAGAAGGATGGGTTGGGGGACTAGGGAGAAAGGGGGTTGGGGTGGGAGACAGGTGAAATCTCTATCTTGTAAGATTCCATGACTGCACCGACCATGTTCATTGACCCATCACCTTGTGCGCACCCAGCAGCAAGTCAACCCCTCTGACCCTGCTGACATACAGAAACCCCTCGACCGTCTTGACCATGTTGACTAGCCCCCCAGTGACCTCACCTTGTGAGCAGCCAGCAGCAAGTCAACGCCTCTGTGCCCCAAAAACTCCCTGCTGACGTGGTCGTTGTACAGAAACTCCATGAATTCCTTGACCACGTTGACTGTCCCTCATTGACCTCACCTTATGAGCAGCCAGCAGCAGGTCAACGCCTCTGTGTCCCATGAACTCCCTGCTGACGTGGCCAGTGTACAGAAACTCCATGACCGCCTTGACCACGTTGAACGAGGCGTCTGTGATCTCCAGCCTGCCCGGACTCACTGCCGCCGCTTTTTCAAGCTCGAACTTAAATCTCTGCGCATGCATGTGAAGCAGGAGGAGAGAGATGAAAGGTAATCACGCTTGCTTCCTAAAGCTCACTGGAACCTTCTGCTTACTCTAAAAGTGTATGGAAGGAGTATGGAAGGATGGAAGTAAGGCATGGATCGCGAAGTGTTCAGACTGTAGATTTCCACTGCTGCTGGCCAGCGTGGCCAGTGAATCCATGTCACTGGAAGCGTGCAAATAAGAGCAAACTAGGGGTCGAAGAGGACAGCGTGCGGGTCAAAAGGGTGGCCCATACAGGTCTCGAACCTGTGACCTTCGCGTTATTAGCACGACGCTCTAACCAGCTGAGCTAATAGGCCCATGTCTACTCTAGCCACCATTTTATTATAGCACTCGACTTCAAACCTTGGATTTACCCTCTGCCCACACCTCCACCAGCTTATGCCCCCCAACACCTCACGGCATCTCACCGTACTTCACCGCACTGCACCTCATCTCACCTCAGAATGCACCACCACCAGCATCTTCAGCACGCCCAGATGCTTCCCCTCCGCCCATACCTCCACCAGCTCATGCCCCTCCCCACCTCAGCGCACCGCACCACACTTCACCGCATCTCACCTTAGACTGCACCACCAGAAGCATCTTCAACACATCAATGTGCTTCCCCTCAGCCCACACCTCCACCAGCTCATGCCCTCCACTGCCAAAGACCGCCGCCCAGCCGTCTGCTACAGCTGGCAGCTGCGCCGGCCCCGGCCCATGGAACGGGTGGCCTGCCAGCTCAGCAACTGTCGCGTCAGCAAGCAGGTCCAGCATGGCATCCCAATGGCGGTAGTCCCAGCCCTTCAGATACAGGCTAGACTTGAGCTCCAGTGCCACCTGTGGGTGGAGAAGGATGGAGAGTAGCGACAAGTGGTGAAGAGTGGTGAAGAGGGATAACAGTACATGGTATTGATTCACCCAAGCAGGTGCAGCATCGCGCCGTAGTGGCGACAGTCCCAGCCCTTCAATCACAGGCTGGGCCTCAGAGACGTGTGGAGTGGAGGATGGTGGAGAGTGGCGAAGAGGGATGGCAGAGCATGATTGAGCGGGTAATCGTCGTCTGGAATGCCCTGTCAAGGGCAATGCCCCCGCCTCAGCCTCTCAGCATAGAGCAGTCTCTATTTAGTTGTGCTTCTCCAGTTCTGAAAATTCACCAGAGACGCGACGTGCGAGTGTTTGTTTGTTTGTTTTTTTTGCCTTTTTCCAGAAGACTCACCAGAACAAAAGGTATAAAAAAGGCATTGAAAGTCTCGGTTACCTCACCAGCAGAGGCGTCTTGTTGGCCACTGCCACCTTGCGAGTCTCGTCCTTCCTCCCCACCAGCCCTCTCGAAATCCTCGGGCTCCTGGGACTGAACAGGCTGCCCGAACCTACCGGGCTGCCCGAACCTACCGGGCTTCCAGACCTAGCAGAGGGCGGCGAGTCGTGGCCGCGGGGGAGTCCATGGCGCGCGGCACGGTGACCTTGGCGCCATGGCCTATGAGAAGCAATGCAAACGCAGCTAAGATTCAATCAGAACTCTCCGGAATCTCACCAGAAGAGGTGTCTTGTTGGCCACTGAGACCTTGCGCGTCTCGTCCTTCCTCCCTGCCGCCATGCCCCTGGGGCTCCTGGGGCTCCTGGGACTGCCCGGGCTCCCCGTAGGGGACTCATGCTTGAGGTAGCACAGCTTGCTGGCAGCGGGGGAGTCCACGGCGCGCACGGTGACCTTGGCGCCGTGGTCTAGGAGAAGCTTCGCCATGCTGACGCAGCGGGATGATTCGAAGTTGTAGACTGCGACAAAGATAGCTGTCACGCCCTGGTTGGGACGAGACGAGGGGGGGGGGGGGGGGGGGGGGGGGGGGGTTGTATGAAGGAGAGGAAGGGGGAAAGTGAGTTCTAACTGCTCGCACGGTGACCTTCGCGCCATGGTCTATGGCGCCACAGTTCGGGAGAATTCAAAGTTGTACACGGGAACGAGAGGCAACGGGCACAAACAGAATGGACGGAGGAGTTGTAGAAGCACAATGGTTTTATTATGAACTTACATAGCGCGGTAGACGCAGCAGCAGCAGCACTGCGGATATTTTTGGTACTTTTTAATGTCGACGATATGTTGCAAAAGCGCAGGCACACTCACCCATTTTCTCCCTCACTCGTCCCCCTTTCTTTCTCCTCTCCCTCCCTCCTCCCTCCCTCCCTTCCGCGCACCTGTCCGTTGTACTCGTTAATGTCAACCTTCCTATGCTTCAGAAGCGCTGCGACGCCGTCCACGTTACCAGCAGCCACGGCGCTGAAGAACGCGCCCTGGTCCAGCGGATTAAGGAGCTCGCCAGGGTCGTCGTAGAGACCTAAGGCGCGACTCGCCTCCTGCTGCAAGGCAGGGGGCTTCGACCCCGAGTCTAGCGAAAGGCTGCGAAAGCTGTGGTGTGCAGACGCCATGTGGTTACCACCAGAATATTGAGATACTTATGTTATGTCTCTCGCTACGAGTAGTAGGCTAAAAAGACTGAGGTGAAAGGTTGAAATATGGCAGAATATTCAGAGGCCTGCTCTAGGACTGTCCTTGGTTCTTGTATCCGCGTATCTCAAGAGCCTAGTAATAGTAGAACCGTCGCAGATTAAGAATATGTGACGAAAATCACGCAAAAGACCTTGCTTGTATGGATGAGAGTTCTCCGACTGTTTCAACTGTTTCTCGTCTATCCCCTTCTTCCTCTCTTATATCCTCTCGAACTGACTGGGTCGCCTTGTGAAGCCATCTCCCGTGCTCCAGCCTCCAGCTGCTCGTTCCCTCCCTCGCGTTTGCTCACTCGGGTTATGTACGCTGCTCCGTAGAACTACCGATACCAACCGATACCATTTGCCCAACGAAGTGAAACTTCCTCTTAGCAAACACCGTCACTCCCCGCTAATTTGCGACACTGCGTGGCACTCCGCGCCGCTGCGGGGAAATGCGCTGTCGCGCTCATGTTGCTGCCACGGCGGATGGCGTCACGGTGTGATCAAGCTTTGACAAGCGCGTCGCATCATGATGTCACGAGAGATCGTAAAGTGAACGGCTGGGATCGAATTCTATTCACATGCCGTTTTCTTGTTATTCGGGCATTCCTGTGAACCCTCCACATGCCATGGCCGAAGCATGGCATGTTGAAAATGGTGTTGTCTAGGCTTCAGCCCATGACTCGAACGCGCTGCGGTCTGCCTAGGGAATGCACGGTTTCAGGGTTCCACCACAGCAGCAGCAGCTGCAGCAGCAGCAAGCAGCTCCGCTTTCGTGTAGGTGACGTGATGTCTTGTGCTGACCTGGTTTGGGCTTTCCCCTACACCACCAAGCATAGCTTTTGCCGAGGTGACATGCAATGAGTCGTGTTGACACTTCAGGTAGAGGTCACGCTGACTAGGATGTCTGCCAGTCTGATGACATTTGGGCTAGAATACATGTGGACGTCTGATGTAGCTGTGCTGGCGGGGTCATGGATTTGGAGAAGCAAAGCTGCACTACATTTTCTGGTTCACGAAGTGGCATGGGCTGGTATAATAAGGCCTTACGGTTATCACAAAAACACTCGATTCAACGTGAGGTACAAGAGCTATTTCTTTGACGGAGAGGCACATAATGAGTGCGTCGAGCAAGATCCGAGAAGGGTCATAGCTAGCGTCAACCCTAGCTAGAACAGTATAAAGGAGTATGGCCGACCTACGCCATCCGCCCTACATCGTGCACGACCACACAACCCCAGCCGCGATTCCAGCCCCACCGTTTATGGTTGGTATTTGTGGCTACAAGTCTAAAATGAGTTCACAACCAATTGTAGCACGCCACAGACGCACCGCAAAAGAGAGAATGTAGGGTTGCAGGGCTTTCGGAGCCCCTTCCCCCAACCACGCGCATCCACGCCACGAGGGCTTTGTGGTTGGCTGCTGCGGAACGAGACAAGAAATGATATCCGCAAGTGTGAACGCTTCCCCCTACCTCACGAACTAGGGATATTATATAGGCAGTCACAATTAAGCCCGGTTTATTACGTTTGGTCACAGAGGTATCACAAACAGTCACAGTACTGTAGATTCGTATCGCAGGTGTTCACAGTGCTATCACGGATTGTCACTCCTCGCCCCGAAAAGCTATCACGCTTGGTCACTCGTAGAAACCTTGATAGAAAGTTGAAACTACTCAAGTCACTGTAGGGATTCAAGGAAAGTTTTCTCGCGCGCGCAGTTTTGTCCGTAGTGTCACGAAATAGTTTCGCGACAGCTTTCGGTAACTCGTCAAAAACATATGCAATTTGTTGTATAATGTCCCTAACAGTATCTCCCGAAGAACATGCCATCCTATAGGGGTTTATATTTTTTTCCAGTCCCCTAAATGTCAGGCTAGAATCATGCGCGAGGTAGCAAGCTATCAAAATTGGGATTCCCCTGAATCTCTACAGTTTCTTTCCTGGTTTCAATTTTTTTACGATCGTCTCATCGAGTGACCAAACGTGATAGCTTTTCGGGGCGAGGTGTGACCATCCGCGATAGCACTGTGATCACCCGCGATAGAAATCTACTGCACTGTGACTGCTTGTGATATCCCTGTGACCGAACGTGAAAAAACGGGAATATTTGTGACTGCCCGTATAATTTTTTCACGAACTATCAACCAGAAACCGCAAAACTTTTTCTCTTCGCAGAAGTGGTTACTCGTCGTTGTCCTGTCCTCAACACAAAACCTCGATAAATTCACCCGTGGCGGCACTAGCGACAGCTAGCGAAACTCGGTGAGCGCGCGCGGTGCGTCGTTTTCTTGGGGTGTCCGGTCGGGTCTGGTCTGTCTCCTACCATCCATCCGCTGTATACACCTCCCTCTCCCACTCAACTGCCCCGCCTCATCTCCCCTCCCCCTACCTCGTCAATCCTGAGGCCAATAAACTGCGCCAGTGTTCTTCCTTTCTCGTCATCAATCCCTTCCCGCCACTGTACCACCTGTCACTTTCACAGCGATCACTTCTTATCCCAGCAAGCTCCCGTTGCTGTCATTTTCGCTGTCACGCTCCGTACTTGCCATCCTCACCTCGACCGCCAGTCCGCCTCCCTCCGTCCGCGCCGCGGGTTTTCCCACATTGCGATTCTCAGTACTGACTGAATCTGCTAGTTCTGCCTAGCGCCAAGTCGGTAGCTCAGCTGCGACTCGCGCTGATACAGGCATCTCACTGCCGCATTCCGAATTCGACGCCGCATTCGAAGGCGACGACCTTTCCGCCTGCATTCGGCGAAGGAGACTACGCGGACTGTAAGGCAGCCGAGGGACCGTAAGTCAAGTGCCTAGCGTGCGACAGCCATTCACGATGTTTCAAACCGTCAGCACACGCGATTTCGCCAGCAAGCGGAGATCAGTTAAGTTAACTGCTGCCGGCGGCACTGACGGCCACGGAGAAAGTCGCATTTCAGCCCAGCGAGCGTCCACCATTCGCGGCGGCTCTTCAGGAGAACGGCGAGGCGGTAAAGGAGGAAAAGCATCCGCGACCGACGCGGCGGCGTCTGCGGGAAGTTCGAGCCGAAGCCGCCGCAAATGGGCGCAGTCGAGCGGAAACCGCGCGGCGCCATCGACAGCGGAAGATGCGGTGCAGGCGGAACTTGCGGCGACGCCGGGACTGCTGGAGCCGATGCGCATCGAGCTGATACCCGAGGTGAGGGTCGCTTGACACGAGGCTCTTGATAGAGTTGTTTCCATAAGCGATGTTTCCCTCTACGCGAAGCTCTTTTTACCCCTTGCTATTTCTCAGTCTCCTTCCCACGACTGCTGGAGCCAGTGCGCGTCTGCTTGTCGCAAAACGTTTAACACACGACGTCGTCGACACGAGGTTGCGGGGTGGCCTTGAGAACTCCCTCAAAACCACCGCAATGTGTCGTGAAACTCAAGGGCTGGTGGAGCCAATGCGCGTCGAGCTGATACCCGAGGTGAGGATTTTGAGAGAGATGTTTCCCATCTGCCTTCCCCCCATGCCTCCCCCCCCTGCATCACCCGCACCAGGAGGGGAAAGTGGACAGCTACCGCATAGCAGCGGGCATGAAATCCCGGCACCCCCCAGGCGTGATCTACGGGCTCCTGCGCGACTTCAAGCGCGGCCCCGCTATCTTCCGCCACATGGACAAGTGCTCCTCCGTGCCGCAGCCCGACGGAAGCTTACTCGTCGTGCAGAACGTCAAGTGGCGGTTCCAGCTGTTCTCGGGGAAATTCGACCTGGCGCTCTATTGCCACTGCGACGACGCGACGCGCACTATCACGTACCGACTGTGAGTTCCGCATGTGCTTAAAATTGGGCCCGCACTTTCGTCTGGAAGTTCCAGATGATTTGTCGGCTGCACCAGTCTCATTTGCTTCAATCGAACCTTTTTTTTCTTTCTTTCTTTCTTTTCTTTTTCTTTTTAGAAACAACTCCGATCATAACCTCACTCCGCTTTCCGTTTCCATGTCTCCCTTTCCCCTCCCTTCCTCCTTCCTCCCTCCTCTTTTTCTCTCTCTCTCTCTCTCTCTCTCTCTCTCTCTCTCTCTCTCTCTCTCTCTCTCTCTCTCTCTCTCTCTCTCTCTCTCTCTCTCTCTCTCTCGCTCTCTCTCTCTCGCTCTCTCTCTCTCTCGCTCTCTCTCTCTCTCTCGCCCTCTCTCGCCCTCTCTCGCCCTCTCTCGCCCTCTCTCGCCCTCTCTCGCCCTCTCTCGCCCTCTCTCTCTCTCTCTCGCCCTCTCTCTCTCTCTCTCTCTCTCTCTCTCTCACTCTCTCTCTCTCTCTCTCGCTCTCTCTCTCTCTCTCTCTCTCTCTCTCTCTCTCTCTCTCTCTCTCTCTCTCTCTCTCTCTCTCTCTCTCTCTCTCTCTCTCTCTCTCTCTCTCTCTCTCGCTCTCGCTCTCGCTCTCTCTCTCGCCCTCTCTCGCTTTCTCTCGCCCTCTCTCGCCCTCTCTCGCCCTCTCTCGCTCTCTCTCGCTCTCTCTCGCTCTCTCTCGCTCTCTCTCTCTCTCTCTCTCTCTCTCTCTCTCTCTCTCTCTCTCTCTCTCTCTCTCTCTCTCTCTCTCTCGCTCTCTCTCTCTCTCTCTCTCTCTCTCTCTCTCTCTCTCTCTCTCTCTCTCTCTCTCTCTCTCTCTCTCTCTCTCGCTCTCTCGCTCTCTCTCGCTCTCAGGGCATCTCCTGGATTCATGAAAGATTTTGTCGGCACATCAACCATCCGCAGCCTTTCCCTCCCTCACGCCCCACCATCCTCCTCCTCCTCCCTGCCTCTCACCGTTCCCGGCACACGCGCTATCAGCCGCCCCCAGCCTCTGCTACAGCCAGAGCTACAGCCCCATGCACCTCAGCCTAAGTCCTTGCATCCGGCGCTACAGATGAAGCCGCTACAGCCGCGCCTCCCGCTACAGCAGCGGCTGCTACAGCTTCAGCAGGCGATTCCCCTCGGCCGCTTCCCTGCTCAGCTGCTGGCGTTCGGCCGAGTGGCTGTGGGCGAGCCTCGGATCGAAGGCGAGGGGGTAGGAGGGGGGATTATGGGTGGATGGCCAAGGATGGGTGATGGAGCTGCTGGTGCTGTGCCCATGGTTGCGGCAGCAGGAGCAGTAGGAGCACCAGTAGCAGCAGGAGCAGGAACAGGAGGAGCAGTAGGGAGCATGGGAGGAGGAGCTAAAATAGGAGGGGTCGTTCAGTGGAAGGGTGGCGTGTCTGCAGGTGGTGCTTCGGAGCTGGTGAAATGTGGACCGTCGGATTGTGGGTCGGAGATCGAGATCGTCCAGAGGGTCGAACCATCCAACTTGCCGCTTGGTCCTTTGAGTGAGTGCCCTGCCTCCCCTGCCTGCCCCCAAGTGTGCGTGCGTGCCCCATTGCTTCTACCTATGCTCGCTCCATTCCTCATGTGGTTGTTGCACTGCGCCCCAGCATTCATGTGCTTCTGCCGGAGTGTGTATGAGTGCACACTCAGTTGCTTCCCTTGCAACTTCTAGTCCTTGTAACTTTGTATATCCCAGGCTTCATCCTTGTCTTCTATTTTCCTTCCGTGCTGCCCCCTTTCTCATGCATTCTAACAGCCCAGTATATATTGGGGTACATCATAACAGCCCAAATGCGAGGTCTCTTCCATGACCTGTGTGTGGAGGCAACAAACATTGAAGCGAGGAATATTGCGGAACAGGCAAGGTTAAAGGCTGTCGCCACTGCTGCTGCTGCTGCCAATGCGGGTGCTGCTGGTCAGGATAATGGTTCGCAGAAGGGGAAAAGTGTTTCTAAGGTGTTGGGTTTGTGGAGTAGCATGGCGGTAGCTCCCGTTTGAGCTTATGAGGGCGAAAGAATTGCTATGATTTTGCTTGTTTGGTTTCTAACATATCTTGTAAACATTCTGAAGTGCACTTAAGCTTCTCTTACCGCACCAGCAGCAGGAGTGGACGGATACCTACTTGATATGTCCAATATATGTATATATGCAAACATTCACTTCTGTTTTTCTCTGTATTGAGTCCCGCCTCGGTGTTCCTAAGACCTGATCTTGATTTTGTTTAGGAGAAACTGTCATTAGTTTGTTCACAGGTGCACAGCAGTTCAAAGCGGTCAAATTAAAGCGAAGCCTGATTGTGCACAGCAATGCACTCAACCGTTATTGACTGGATAGAAAGCATAAAGCGCAACTTCAGTGACTCTGTAAAGCAGACCGCATGCTAGCATGTAGACCTAGATTTCTTGCGCGTTGATTCAGCTTGCCCAGACGAACTTACCTTTAGCGATCTTAAATCTTAGAGGCGGGTACGTTTCGGTCGGCGCAGTCCAAATACAAGGAGATTGCTTTGTCCTCGTTATAATCCACGCTCACGAATTAGGATCAATCCAGTCGCCACGAGACTCGGGGTACAAATAGCTCAGGATAATGCCACGTGCACTCTTGAGTCGACTCAAAAGTTTCCCTCGTGGCCAGTTGCCGTGGTTTCGTAGTTAGTATCGAGGAGTTCGAGGAGACTATCAATCTGGACCAATACATCTCGTTTCCTACTATTAGCTGTCGTACCACTCGAAGTTGCGTCAGCTTATAAGGGATACTACTGGTAGCGGTGTCAGTATGAGCTCTGGAGCGCATACCCAGCATCTAACCAATCCAGGAATGCCACCTGGACCTCCGCCTGGTCCCCCACCTGGCATGCTTCCAGCATCCGGGCCGTATTCAGGCAACCCATACGGAGCCGCCAACGCACATAATGCATCGTCCTATTCTGCTCTTAATTCTGCTTACGCTCCTAATCAGTCGCTTCCCCTTCCGCCTCCGCCTCCTCCGCCCACCAGCGGAGAACTTCCGCTTCCCCCTCCTCCGCCGTTCCCCCCTCCCCCCTCCGGCTCCCACCAACCAGCACCTCCTCCCCCGCCTCCCCCCACGTCCGATCCCCCGTTGCCCCCTCCCCCGCCCTTCCCACCCGCGCATTCCGCGCTTCCGCCTCCCCCGCCTCCCCCATCCGGCTCGGGGACTCTCGCACTTCCGCCACCCCCTTCCGGCCCGCATCCTCCGTCGGCGGAGAAGGGCCGGCATGCAGGGGGGGATGGGCGGAGAGACAAGCGCGGAGCTGGCGGGGATGGTGGAGACGGCGGGCGGAGAGACAGGCACCAGCATAGTCACCACTCGCAACAGTCACAGCATCACCAGCAGAAGCCGTCACAACCAGGATCACAGCCGCACAGTCAGCAGCACCAGCTGCAACAGCACCAACACCAACAGCAGCATCACCAGCAGCAGCAGCAGCACCAGCAGCAGCAGGGGGAGAAGAGCAGCCACGCGGGCGGGGGGGTTGGGGGAAGCGGGGCGCTGGTCCCCGCGCGGGGTAGGGACGCGTCCGCGGGAGCAGCTGTTGGGGGAAGCGGCGCAGCAGGCGCAGCAGCAGGGGGGGCTAAGGACGAGAACCGGTTGAAACGGCCGTCGACGTTCCTGTGTAGAGTGAGGTGCGAGGGAGGGGAGTGCGGTGGGATGTGGTGGAGAGGGTTGTGAGGGCCAGGGGTTTATTAAAGGGCTTCTCCAATATCCCCCCTCATACCCCACTGTTCCTCCTTTTAGCACATTTCCCCACCTTCCCCCACACTTCCCAATTCTTCCCAACACTTCCCAACATTCACCCACTCTTTTCATACTCAACCGCTCTCCCACGCTCCCCCACTCCCCCACGCTCCCCCACTCTTTCCCCATGGTTTACCCTCTTCGCAGGTTCACCAACAGCCTACCAGAGCCAGCATCACTCACAGCCGAAGCCGCTGCCTCTCGGGGGGGACCCCCACCGATACTCCGCCTCACACTCTCTATCTCCCCCACTACCTTCCCCAACTCACCCCCCTCCTCCTCCCCTTCCTCAGGTTCACTAATACCCTGCCCGAGCCAGCATCACAGCCGAAGCTGCTGCCTCTGGGGGGGGACCCACACCGCTACTCGGCCTACCACGTGTCGACTCTAGAGGCGGACCACCGGCATCGCCTGCACGTGGAGCCGGATTTAGGGATCCCATTGGACCTGCTCGACCTATCCGCCTACTGGTAAGGAGTAGGCACAGTCACGCGTGGGTGTAGAAGCACACACATGTATGGTATGGACCCACACCGATACTCCGCCTACCACGTGTCGACTCTAGAGGCGGATCACCGGCACCGATTGCATGTGGAGCCGGACCTTGGGATTCTGCTTGACCTGCTCGACTTATCCACCTACTGGTTAGTTATTTCCATTCACACGTGTGCACTCCCCACCGGTACTCCGCCTACCACGTGTCGACTCTTGAGGCGGATCACCCCCACTGCCTGCACGTGCAGCCAGACCTGGATATCCCCCTGACCTTTTCGACCTATCCGCTTACTGGTGAGCCGTTGCTGTCACATTTCCTCCTCACACCGCCACGCCAGATTCTTCTGTTCTGCTTCCCCCTTTACAACCAAACCAATGCCCTTCCCTGTGCCCTCATCCTGCCCCTTCCCCTATGCCTCTTTTTTTTTTTTTTTTAGGACAGGGGATTATACCCTGTCGAAGTGCCTCTTTCACAGAGGCCAATGCCGTCCCCTCTCGTCCCTCACCCAGCGCCCCGCCCCTCTCTCAGCGCCCTTTTGAGGCGCATTTTTCCCTCATCCTTCCCCCCCTGTGCCCTTCTTCCCCCTGTGCCCCCTTCCCGTCCCCTCTCTTCCCTCACCCCAGCGCCCCGCCCCCCTCTCAGCGCCCACCACTCCACCCGGCAGACGCGGAACTCCTGAGGGACGATGATGCGAGTGTGAAGCACAGGGAGGGCGCGGGGGCAGCAGCAGGGGGGGCGGGTGCGTTGCGAGTGAAGGAGAGACCTACTGATGCTGGGCTGAGCTGGCTCGTGCACACTCAGTACATCTCCGCTGCTGGCTCTGGCAGTGCTCCCAAGAAGGTGAGTCCATGGCATGGCAGGCAGGTGCTGCTGGGTTGAATGGTGTGATGTGAACTGACCTGTGTTGGGTTGAGCTGGGCTGAGCTGGCTCGTTCACTCTCAGTACATCTCCGCTGCAGGCTCTGGCAGTGCTCCCAAGAAGGTGAGTGTTGGTTTGGGGAGGGAGGGAGGCCAGGGGGGCGGCAGCAGGGGGGGCGGGTGGGACGGGCGCGCTGAGAGTGAAGGAGAGGCCTACAGACGCTGGGCTGAGCTGGGCTGAGCTGGGCTGAGCTGTGCTGAGCTGGCTCGTGCACACTCAGTACATCTCCGCTGCAGGCTCTGGCAGTGCTCCTAAGAAGGTGGGCGTGTTCCTGTTGGGCTGGGCATGCGATTTGAGGCAAGGACACCTAATCCACTGGGGGGTTGCGCTGGGCTGAGCTGGGCTGAGCTGGGTTGAGCTGAGCTGAGCTGGGCTGAGCTGGCTGGTGCACACTCAGTACATCTCCGCTGCTGGCTCTGGCAGTGCGCCTAAGAAGGTGAGTCCATGGCTGGTCTGTGGATTCTGAATTGAACTGGTGTGAACCAGGCTGGGATGCCTGTGCTGGGCTGAGCTTGACTCTTTCCCATCGCCTGTGCTGGGCTGAGCTTGACTTTTTTCCCATCGCCTGTGCTGGGCTGACCTTGACTCTTTCCCCTGCTCCCATTCCCCCGATTTCTCACTCCTCTCACTCGTGTGTGCCTGTACAGAGGGTGAGCTTGACTCTTTCCCATCGCCTGTGCTGGGCTGACCTTGACTCTTTTCACTGCTCCCATTGCCCCGATTTGTCACTCCGCTTGCTGTTTTTGTCCCCACCCTTCTCACTCGTGTGTGTGCCTGTACAGAGGGTGCTTAATGAGAAGGAGGCGAAGCTGCTGGCGCTGCAGCTGGAGTTGGCAGATGAGCAGATGTACAGTACAAGGTGAGTGTACATGTATTTGTATGCATGTTTACATATGTTTATGGAAAAGAAGTTATTGTTTTATGAAATATACATAGGGCATGAACAAGTCCACGTATTCATTCCCCTTTTCCTTCACCTGCCTTTCCACTCGACTCAACCTGACTCAAATTGATTTCTTGCCTGCAATGCTTGCAAACACTCTCTCCTCCCTACACTTTTTTCCCACCCCTCGCAGGGAGGGCAGATCCGGTACATCGAGGAATCTTTTCAGGCTGCCCGGAAGCCGCCCGTGCACCCGTCAAACCCGAGCCTGGAGGCAGTGGAGGTGTTGCCGGTGCTGCCGCTGTTCTCCCTGGCGGGCCGCCAGTTTGTGCACCTCGTGTTTGACGACACGCCTCTTGCGGATTCGCCTGCACACATGCACTTGAAGGAGGAGCAGAAGAAAGAAATGGAGGCGCGGGTGAGTCTGCAGTCTTGGGGTGGAATGGGGTTTTCTCCAGGGAATTTGGTGCAAGGTGGAATGAAATGGGATGGGAGGGAATGGGAGGGGGTGGAGAAGAAAGAGATGGAGGCCTGGGCGAGTGACTCTTCGAGAGGGAGGGGAGTTCTGCTTTGTCTCGTACACGCACCATCACACATGCGCCCATCCATTTCATTTCCTCCATCCCTTCCTCCCTGGCCTTCCTCTGTGCATTCTCCCCTGCCTTTGTCCCTCGCCTTGCCTCCCTCCCTGCCTCCCTCCGGAGCCTTTTCCTCCCTCTCCCCCCATCTCCAGGCGATCATGAAGAATTTCAAGGTGGCAGCACCGGGGGGAGGGGAGCCACAGTCGTTTGTGGCCTACATGGTTTCCCAACAAGCGCGAGGTGAGAGATTGAGTGAGGTTGAGTGAGGTGAGCCACACTCTCACCGTGGAGGGGGAGGGGAGCCACAGTCGTTTGTGGCCTACATGGTGCCCAACAAGCGTGAGGTGAGTTGACTGAGGTTGACTGAGCTTGACAGAGGTTGACTGAGGTTGACTGAGTTTGACAGAAGTTAACTGAGGTTGACTGAGTTTGACTGAGGTTGTCGTGGTCCTAACAGTTGAGGCTCCTGCAAAAGAGGGGGGGAGAGCAGAGAGACAGTCGTTCATGTCCCACATGGTTGTCCCACATGGTTTAGGTCCTAGGGTCTCAACAGGTGCACCAGTGAAGTGGAACTTTTGAGTCGACTCAAAAGTCATCTCAACAGGTGCACCAGTGAAGTGGAACTTTTGAGTCGACTCAAAAGTCATCTCAACAGGTGCACCAGTGAAGTGGAACTTTTGAGTCGACTCAAAAGTCATCTCAACAGGTGCACCAGTGAAGTGGAACTTTTGAGTCGACTCAAAAGTCATCTCAACAGGTGCACCAGTGAAGTGGAACTTTTGAGTCGACTCAAAAGTCATCTCAACAGGTGCACCAGTGAAGTGAACGAACGTGAAAAAAGGAGCATTTTGAGACGTCTCAAACCACTCCTTTTTTCACGTGAAGTGGAACGAATCCTGCGATGGTTTAGGCCCATCGTGCGACGTGCGTTCAGTGTATTCCGTACAGTTGTTGTATTGTAACTTTGCTAACCTGCACGTGCTTCTTTTTAAATATTCCCGCCTTTCTTCCCCATCCGTCGCCTCTGAATGCAGCTGGGAGGAAGCTGAGGGAAGGGGAGAGTGCTCGGTATGACTGGGTGCGAGAATACCACTGGAAGGTATGGATCATACATGCAATTATCTCTTTTAGAGATTAGGTGAAGTGAGTGCGTGCTTGCGTTTTGACTCGTTTTTCTGCTTCAGCCTCACTCAGTGTAAACTGAAGGCTAGTATTTTTCCGCTTGCGGTATTCTTTCCGCATTTTTGCTCCGCCCCTTCAACCCGTCTGGACCCCAGACCTCCACTTACTCTTCACGTTTTTCTCACTCTTGTTCTCCCAGGTGGCTAAAGGGGACCCAGGGCGAGGAACTTTTTTCCCCTCAACCCAACCCAACCCGTCTCCACCCCTTCACTGTTACGCTCCACCTGGTTCTCACTCTCTCTCACTCAGGTGGCCAAGGGGGAGCAAGGTCGAGGAACCTTCCTCTTCTGTTTCAACAAGGACAGTGTGAATTACCTCGTGAGTCAACTCCTGGGTCAAACTTTGTATTGTGAGTCAACTCCTGGGTCAAACCCTGTATTGTGAGTCAACTCCTGGGTCAAAACCTTTATTGCGAGTCAACTCCTGGGTCAAACCTTCCATTGTGCATGGATGTGCCTACAATGCAAAGATAAGATGCATGTTGATGCTTATTGCAGAAAGAATCATGTTTTCTTTCCACTGATCTCGTTTCTTTCTCTGCACCCTCTCATCATGCTCCTGTCCCCTCATGTTCCCCCAGCCAATCAACACGAAGCTCACAGTGGCAAAGAGAAAGGCCAAGGAGGGAGGCAAGGCGAAGGGCGAGGAGGGAGAGAGAGTGGAGTTGCCCGTTCCCTCCAAGGTATTTCATTGTGCTTGCCGCCCATATGTTGTGCTTCTTGCCCAAATGCTGTGCTTGCTGGCCAGACTGAGTTTTTTTTTTTTTTTTTTTTTTTTTTATGCATCAGTAACAGGTTTGTGCAGGAGAGCGTTTGCGAGGTAGGCACATTCTGATGGATTCTGGCACAAAAATTATAAGCATCTGGGTATATACCAGTGCCCCCCTTTTTTGCACACTTGCTGCTCCCACCCTTCCATCAGATAGTGCGAAACCGATCAGGGGAAGACGCAGAGGAGGAGGATGAGAGATTGCTTTTGAGAATTCTCTTAAGTGTCTTGCACGTATGTTCCCTTCTCTGCACACTTGCTGCTCCCTCCCTTCCATCAGATCACAGTACGGAACCGATCAGGGGAAGACGCAGAGGAGGATGACGAGAGATGCTTTTGAGAATTCTCTTAAGTGTCTTGCACGTATGTTCCCTTCTCTGCACACTTGCTGCTCCCTCCCTTCCACCAGATCACAGTACGGAACCGATCAGGGAAGACGCAGAGGAGGAGGATGGGGGAAGGGAGAGGCGGAGACGTGAGGAGGATGATGAGGGGGAGGAGGAGCACGAGGGAAGGAGAGGGAGGGGGGCGAGAAGGGGAAGAGACGAGGAGGAGGAGGAAGATGAGGAGGAGAGGAGGGAGAAGAGGCGGAGGTATGGGAGTGGGGAGAGAGAGGAGAGGGGAGAGAGAGGGGGAAGGGGGGAGAGGGGTGGTGGTGGGAGAGCGGATGGGAGTGATGTTGATGAGGGAGACGGGCGGAGGAGGCAGCAGGAGCACAGGGAAGACAGTGGCAGTAGTGGTGGTGGCAGTGGTGGCGGAAGGGGTGGAAGGGGTGGAAGGGGTGGTGGTGGGGATGGGGTAACAGTGAGAGTGAGAGCGACATGAGGGGAAGAGGGGAGGAGGATGAGCGAGGAGGGAGGCAAGGAGGGGCGCGGTTTGAGAGTGATGAGGAGAGAGAGGGAGGGGGAGGGGGAGGGGGAGGAAGAGGCCACAGGCGTGGGATTATTGAGAGCGATTCCGAGTGATTTGAAACGTTTCCAAGCGGTTCAGACCGATTCCACGTGATTCAAAGCTGTTCAGAGTGACATACAGGGATTTTGAGCGGTTGTTATGGGTCCAGATATGAGAATCGGCAGAGTTGGTGGACAGGGGGAGAGGGGTGGTGGTGGAAGGGCGGATGGAAGTGAAAATGAGGGAGATGGGCACAAAACGCAGCGGGAGCACAGCACAGGGCAGACAGTGGCAGTAGTGGTGGTGGCAGTGGTGGCGGAAGGGGTGGGAGGGGTGGTGGTGGGGATGGGATGGGGCAACAGTGAGAGCGAGAGGAGGGGGAGAGGGGATGAGGATGAGCGAGGAGGGAGGCAAACATCAAGGGAGTGTGGTAACCACCAGATGGTACTCGGTGGTCCTGCTGCTGATGATGAGCAGTGGCGGTTGAATGATTCAGCAGTATTCAGACACTCTCACTAGAATGTTCCCCTGTGTTGGGCTGGGACACCCTGAAAGGCACACTGAAAGCCACTGCTGGAACGGGCACTTATTTACCGGTACTTGTTACACTTGGTTGTTCCTTGATGTGACTGCGGTGTACGCATTGTAATGTGATGTGAATGCTACGGTACATGAAGGAATTTGTTATGAGGGTACATTCCGCTGCGGACACTTTCTCAAAGAAAGTGTCCGAATCGATTGTGACGCGTATGTACAGCATATGCTGCCATCAGGGCCTCAGATTCCAGGAATTTTACCCTGATTTCCTGATGTTTGACCCCGGTTTTTTATTGTAACCCTGATGAATCAGCCTTTTTGTTTTTACAACCCTGATGAATCAGTGTTTTTCTTTTCCTAATCCTGATTTTCCAGTGTTTCTAGTTTGTCGACACTGACGAGTCAGTGTTGTATCTGAGACGACCCTGAAACCGAAAACTCCGTGATTCTCGCAGTTTTGCGCGCCGTCATCATGCATGAACCCACCCTGCACCGACGCCACCCTGCGGCGCGCCCAGATACAGTTGAACAGGTTAATTTCGGGCTGTGTTGGCAAAACAGCGTAAAGAGATTGGCTTTCCTAGCTGAAGCAATGTACCGTTGTCACGTTGGATAACCTACACTTGTCATTACTTTCCATTGATGTGTACAAACAACCAAGCCTAGTGGCCCAGTGGGCCGGTGGTCTACCTTGTTCTTTCCACCAAGGCAGGGCGTGCTGGGGCGGCCCCGCTCAGGCACCCCACGCAGGGGGTCTCGTGATTCTGCCATTCCAGCTCTCCAGACTCCATCCCTTTCCGAAACATCAATCTCAGCAGTCTCCCTGAAGCCTGCTCGGCAGGCTCTCTCTCTCCCAGGGTTTCTTGTTACTACTCACCGATTCAGGAAGGTGACGTGAACGCGCCATGGCGATCACCGGTGAGAACAGCTGCGGTGATGATGACGACGATGCACTTTACGCCGCCACCGAGATGCTGGAGGCCAGAACGGGACTAGATTTTATAGTTTCCGCGCTCTCCCATGAAAAAGAGAATCCAGGCCCCGTCGCCTCAGTAGCAAACACTGGTGAAGCGTCTGGCCTCTGCCGCGGAGACGATCGTCCCCAGCCCGCGCATACTGCTAAGCCGGCCGTGCCGTCAGCAGCCGGACCGAGCGTCCGCTTGCCATCTCGTGCGTCGTCGTCGAAGCCTCCGCCTCGTTACAAGCAGGCCGTGCTCCGTTGGGCCGATCCTACAGATCCTGGACGTCCTCTCGCTGATGCCGGCGAGTCGGTAAACCACGTTACGCCCACGCCATCTAACTCTAAAAAACCGTCACTAACCACTCTGATTTACGAAGAGGCCCTTGAAACGTTCAAGTCGACGTGGTCAACCGACTACCCATGGCTCATCCTCATAAAAAACACTGCTGGCATGCCTGCGTTCAAGTGCAGATTGTGCATCGACTTTGCAGGTGACGGTGGCAAGTGTGGCAAGAGTGGGCACGGTGCAACCGATCTTCAGACCCAAGCCTTCAAGCGGCATGCCGCGACGAACAAGCACCAGTTGGCCATCAATCACCAGAAGCAGATGCTAGCTCAGGCTGGGATGCGCGGCTGTCGGACCTCTGTCAAACAATATATGTGTTATATTTGTGTAGGCTACAGTGGGTTAGCCTTTTAGGGGGTATATCATTGTAGGGTTAGGTACTTGTACTCCCATTCCTTTCTAGTTCACACACTTCTCTCATTCTAACATGGTATTACGAGCCTAGGTTAGGAACCTAGGACCGAACGTTCTAAGGGCCCACCGTTCCGTTTCCTCGCTACCTACTAGCGCCCTCGTGCGCCCCCTCCTTAACGGCCCCTTAAGGCTCTACGACCCGCGACCCGCCCCTTAGCGACCCGCGCGCCGCCCCTTAGAGGCCCCGTCGGCCCTGCGCACCGCCCCTTAGAGGCCCCACTGGCCCCGTTGACCCCGCGCGCCGCCCCTTAGAGGCCCCGCTGGCCCCGTCGACCCCACGCGCGACCCGCTTAGAGGCCCCGTCGGCCCCGTATGCCCCACGCGCGCCCACCTCTTAGCGGCCCCGTCGGCCCCCTCGACCCCACGCGCCGCCCCTTAGCACCCTGCACGCGACACCCACGGCCCCCGCCAGAATGAGCCGCCCGAACCGAGCAGCCCGAACCGAGCCGCCCAGCCCGAACCGAGCCGCCCGAACCGAGCCGCCCAGCTCGAACCGAGCCGCGGCGCCCGAACCTAGCCGCGCCGCCCTACCCGAGCCGCGCCGCCCTACCTGAACCGGGCCGCGCCGCCCGTACTGGACCGAGCCGCCCTACCTGAGTCGCACTGCCTACTGTGTTTAGGGTGCTCCTACTGCTACTACTGCTACTCTACTGCTACTCCTACTACTTCTATGGCTAGCCCTCCTGTGCTAGCTTTCGATGCTGAGGGCCGCCAAGTGAAGTTCGAAACCTGGCTAGATGACCTACACCTCTTCCTACAGCTCACTGCCAAGGAGGACATCTCACTGTACGATCACGCTCTAGGCCATGCTACTGCTACTGCTGACAGCACTGCCCGCTCACAGTGGCAGACTCGTGACGCCCATGCTCGCTTCGCTATTCGCAACTCCCTGCCGATAGATGAGCGCGAGCACTTTGGCCAGCACAAGACTGCACAGGCACTGTACACCGCTGTCGTTGCCCGCTACTCCTCACCTGCCTCTGCCGCGCTAGGCCGTCTCTCACTCCCCTACCTGTTTCCCGACCTGGCCTCGTTCCACACAGTCGCTGACCTCATCACGCACCTCCGTACTAGTGAGGCCCGCTTCCGTGCCGCCATGCCCGATGAGTTTCTTGCCAAGAACCCTCCCCCGCTCTGGCTCACTCTCTACCACCTAGTCACACGCCTCCCTGACACTCTACGTGCTGTCAGGGATCACTTCCTAGCTCGCTGCCCCACTGAGCTCACCATTTCCCTCCTCGAGAAGGAACTGCTTGCAGCTGAGGCTAGCATAGTCGCTGTAGGTGCCTCTCGTGGCGACCCCCGCACCCCTTTCTTTGAGGGGTGTTCCCCTTCCCCCCTTCTTCACTCTGTAGCCTCTGCTTCTGCTGTCGACCTCCTTGGTATTGAGAAGGTCGGGACTGCGTCGGCTTCGAGCGGGCGCCGCAGCGGCAAGGGCAAAGGGGGCAAGGGAGGCGGAGGTGACGACGGGGGAGGCGGTGGTGGGGGTGGTGGCGGCGGTGGGGGTGGTGGTGGGCTGGGGGGACCAGTGGCAGCGGTGGGGGTGGTGGCGGCAGCGGCGGGGGAGGTGGCAGGGGCGGGGGCGGTGGTGGGGGCGGCGGTGGACGCGGCGGCGGCAGGGGAGGGGGTGGTCGAGGAGGTGGCGGCGGCGGTGGTGGTCGTGGAGGCACTGGCGGTGGCCAGAGCCTGCAGCACACTCCGTCGCCCCAGGAGCTTTGTAAGTGGTACGCTCAACACGGGAGGGGGGGGGGGGGGGGAGGGGGTGGCCTTAGCTGCACGTACGTCATCCGCACTGGTGACCGCACTGGTCAGACGTGTGAGAGGGCGCACCCCACGCAGCGCTGCTTCTCACGCCTCGACGACGCTTGGCGTACTCAGTTCCCTGATGCCACTGAGCTGCCCCGCTGGGCTGATCTGATGAAGCAAAACATTGATATCTTTGCTCTAGACTTTGATGCTATTCTCACTGCCATGTATGTGATGTCTATTAGTGGAGAGGGTGCTCAGTACCTGCGTGTTCCGCCCGACCCGGGCATTCGAACCGGTGAGGCCGCCGCTCTAGGTGCTAGAGTGTCTGCTACCCCAGGTGCTGGTGAGGCTGCTGCTCTAGGTGCTAGTGCGTCTGCCCCCCCTGGTACTGAGTCGACTGAGGCACTGCACACCTTTACACTAGACTCAGGTGCCTCCCGCT